GCTCCAGCCCTAAACACTAAACCCTATTCAGGGTTCAGGGTTTAGGGCTTATAGGGTTTAGGGTTCAGGGTTTAGGGTTTATAGGGTTTAGGGTTCAGGGTTTAGGGTTTAGGGTTTAGGGTAACTGTCCAAACCTGGGCAGCGGTAGGAGCCATGACCCACGCAGTCCCAGACGGCCAGGGTCCCCAGACGGCCAGGGTCGGCCCGGAAGGTCTTTCATGGATCCCGCAGGCCCTACCGGACTTCAGTGGCAGGCTCGACTGCGCCGCTGAGGCCATCGCCTGGGAAGAGACGGGGATGCAATTGCCCTAAACCCTAAACCTAAACCCTAAACCCTCAGCCCTAAACCCTAAACCCTAAATCCTCAACTGTCCTTAACCCCTAAACGCCCTAGCTGCCATGCGTGACCCTTGTCATACGTGAGGCTCCTGGAGACTGATGGTGGCTCCATGCCACAAGAGTCGAAGCTTAGAAGTATGGGCTCAGGCCTTTCTAGGGACGCTTAAGGGCAGCTGCCACACAAAGATGGAACCTCGTTGTCCCCCTTGCGCTTTACAGGCAAACTCTATTGAATGCCAGCGCTGACTAGTGTGTTCCCGCTTCCGACTTCCGTGGGTGTATGGTGTGGTTACTCAGAGGGTAAGGGGCTTAGTAAGTAGGGCTATAAGTAAGGTAACTACTCTTGCATCTACTTATTAAAGTGCTTATAGCCTGACTGTCTTATAGCCTGACTGTCCTGTGCCTGTCTCTCCTCTTTGTAAGGTTGAACCCATAGGGCCCCTAGTATGGGCCCTTCAGGCTGGGATCCTTCTATACCTACTATATACCCTCTATGTACCCTTAAGGGTCCATAGAAAGGCCTAAGGGCCCATATTAGGGGCCCATACCTCTAAACCCTAAACCTTAAACCCTAAACCCTATATCCCTAAACCCTATTTCCCTAAACCCTACATCCCTAAAACCTCCCATACTTCTAACCTTCGACTCTTAACCTCTACATCGCATGCCCTCCCTCTGCCAAGGCAAGCCCGAACCTGAGTTCTACGCTCATGCGCTTCGTGTGGTAGGCCTCCTGGGGCTGTTTTGGGCTGTTGGGGGGTTTGAGGGTTTAGGGCTAAACGGCTTGAGAGCGAGAGCCCCTAGACCCTAAACCTTGATCACCCTAAACCCTACACCCTGGGCCAGCTGGGACTTGGGGTTTGGGCTTTCGAATTCAGAAGGTTTTCTGTTCCGGGTTTCGGCGAAGAGGTTCGGGGTTTCCGGGGTGCCCAAACATTGTGGTGACGCTGTGTGGTTCGTGAGCGGTTAGAGTACACGCAAGGGGACTTCGTTCCGTGGCTCCCCTCAACCCTACCCTATTCTATTTCTTAAGGCCCCTTCATTAGGTTTAGGTTCAGGCTTTAGGATTAAGGTTTTAGGATCCCAGGTCTTAGAGTTTAGGTTCGGGATTTGGGGTTTCGGATATTCGGTTTTCGGTTTAGGGTTTCGGCTTTCGGTTTTAGGGCGCTGTTCACTGTAAGGGGTCTTGAGTAAGGCTCAATTCAGTTTAAGGGATAGCGCGTCTTGAAGGCTTGCAAAATCCTCAACTCCCCGGAACCCTCGAAGCCCCCGAGCCCGATAAAATGGACCCCTGATTAGAGTTTAGGGTTTAGGGTTTTAGAGTTTCGGGTGTTAGGGTTTAGGGTTTTAGAGTTTGGGGTGTCAGGGTTTAGGGATACACCACCTCCCTCACGGGTCTCAATGTTAAGCCCTAGTGATCAGCTGTGTCGCGTTGCCTGCATGCCGGCCATGCCACCGACTGCAAAGAATCACGTGTGCAGCAGAAGCCTCAGTGAGCGGCGATTATGGTTTGCTGCACCGCATCCTCTTGGAAAATGAGAGCAGTATGGTGGCCGTGTGCAGTGTGATCCACTGTATGCAGACCCTCTCGAGCAGAGCCGCTTTCTTGCCGGCCTTTGACTTCTGAATTCTGGGTTGCCCCTGTAAAACCTCCAGCTCCTGTCGCCAACCTTTTGGCGAAATGGAGCATTGAGAGACAGGCGATGGTTTTCCGCAGATTCACAATAACAACTTTATTTGTCCAAAAGCTCCTGGAGAATATGCCCGACGGTGCGGACGAATTGAGTGCTCAACTGGAGCAGCTGGCGGTCTGTATGGCCGATTACATGTGTTTTCTACACATGCAATTGGAGCCGCTAGGCTTCTTTTGATTGAGTTGGTCATGTGTACGCAAGCATACGTATCGTACGTTGTGCGCTCGAGGCCAGTCCTTCTTGCAAGCATTTCATTAAGGAAGAGGGGGGGATCAACCAGCTCTGCAGTACCCTGTAAGCCTTTTCTCAAGAACAAGTTTTAAAACACTTAGAAACGATCATGAAGCCCTATAAAACCCACAGGCAGCCTCACAACACCTCTTGAAGCCCTTGTCCAAAGAGCTCAGAGCCTGTATGTCAAACCCAAAACCCAAAACCCTCAAACCCAAACCC